GCCCCCCCCCCTGCCCCCACCACTGTCCCCATCCCTGTCCCCATCCCTGCCCCCATCCCTGTCCCCACCTCTGTCCCCATCCCTGTCCCCATCTCTGTCCCCATCCCTGTCCCTATATCTGTCCCCATCCCTGTCCCCATCCCTGTCCCCTTGTCCCCATCCCTGTCCCCATCCATGTCCCCTTGTCCTCATCCCTGTCCCCATCACTGACCCCTTGTCATCATCCCTGTCCCCTTCCCTGTCCCCATCCCTGTCCTCATCCCTGTCCCCCTGTCCCCATCCCTGTCCCCATCTCTGTCCCCATCCCTGTCCCTATATCTGTCCCTATATCTGTCCCCATCCCTGTCCCCATCCCTGTCCCCATCCCTGTCCCCATCTCTGTCCCCATCCCTGTCCCTATATCTGTCCCCATCCCTGTCCCCATCCCTGTCCCCATCCCTGTCCCCATCTCTGTCCCCATCCCTGTCCCCCTGCCTGGATACTCACAGCGAGATGACCTCGGGGGGCAGGTTCTTGGGGATGGCCTTGGAGTCCACACAGAAAGCTGTGTCCCGGGTGCAGGAGCAGCTCGGGGGGCAGGGAGGGGGCCGGGGGGGGCTCCGAGCCCCCACCGGGAGCCAGAGCCAGGCCAAGGCGAGGAAGAGGAGGAGGAGAACCCAGAGCTGGTCCCTCAGCATCCTCCTCCTCCCGCTCGGCAGCTCCATCTCCCTGGCCCAGCCCTGCTCTTTGTTTCGCCTTGTTTGGGGGTTGTTTTTTCCTTTTCCCGGCCCCGATCCCTCCCTGGGGTTCCCGGGAGCTGCGATCCAACCTTTTCCCTCTCCTCCTTCCCGGGGGAATTCAGTGTAGAGGCGAAAAGATGAAGGTTCCCGGCGTCCGAGCTGCTGCTCTGCGGTGCATCATGAGCCGGTGCTGCGGGGGGAGGGATGCGGGGAAAGAGGGAGGGATGCGGGGAAAGAGGGAGGGATGGAGGGAAGAGGGAGGGATGCAGGGAAGAGGGAGGGATGCAGGGAAGAGGGAGGGATGGAGGGAAGAGGGAGGGATGCAGGGAAGAGGGAGGGATGGAGGGAAGGATGAGGCTGAGTGACAGCACCTACATCCCTGTGAACCAGAGTAACCTGAGGGTGCTTGTTGTGGGGGGGGAACTGGGTGCTCTGGGGGTGCAGCAGGATGAGGGGAGAGGAGGGTACCCACCAGCCTGGGTACTTCTCCCAGGGGCAGCAGGATGGGGGGCCAGGAGGGGACCCACCAGCCAG